TTACAGCCATCATCTCAGCACTTAAACCTTTCCCAGAATTGCACCCTGCTGTCACCAGTGTCTCTTAGAGGAGATTCTTTCTTTTCTTTGCCTTTATTCTTTTTATTTCAGAGGAACCAAAGGGGGAAAAAATAATATTTGCTGCAAAAATTGGTAAAGAGGGAGGGAAATGGTCAGAGCAGCCCATTCTCGGGGCAGTCAGTGCAGGGAGAAGATTCCATGCAGGAGAGCTGGCTGCAGCTCCACAGAGCTGTGGAAGGAAACAGGGAAGGGCACAGCACAAATAATAGCTCATACATCAGTCAAACATATCTCATTACCTGTGCTACATTCCTAGGTAAAAGCCACTAACGATTATTTTGCTCTAAAATCATTTGAGAGAGCTCAGGATCCTACATCTGCCTCTAAAAGTGGATTTCAGGCCCTTACAGGTTCCTGCTCCTGGATATTCATGCACACGGAACTTTCTGGACTCACTCATACAAATGCAGCACTTTTGTTGATATTATTTTTGCAAAGGAAAGCGCAAAAGCCCCAGGCAAGTGAGAAATAACATTGAAACACAGACAGCAAATTATCAGGAACAAATAATGAAAAACCCTTATGGGTTTTAGAGCCAATCTCATTATTTTGGAGTGTTTAATTTATGCCTTCTGGCTACTTGGGTTGGTTGAGCAGCAGTACCATCCCTAATGTCTTCAGCAGGAGGAAAAATAATCCAGTCACGTTTGCAGAACACTCTTTCAAAGGCCAGTGAAGTCTGAGGTGAAAATCTCCCAAGCAGATCGAAATACAGACAGCTGCACTCCTAATTTTAATAATGTTCCACTGTTCACTTGACTGTATGGATTTTATTTCAAACCAGACATCGTTTTAGGTCACAAATATGCCACAAGTTATTTTCTCTGCACTAACTGCCTCCTAATTCTGCAGCTTATAGTCATTTTGCATTTGCTTATATAACCTTAAGTGTTCAGAATTGGGGAAAAAAAAAAAAGTGGAAAATCTTGAGGATCCTCAAGGGAACAGGAAAAGAAACTCTACCTTCAAACCCTCTTCTGCCAGAGCATACAGAGAGAAGAACATTCTGCAGGTCTGAACTCATCTTTCCCTACCCCAAAATGAAGGCTGCCTAATTTCATTAACAAACCAGTTATTTACCACAATCTCACAGAATTCAACAAAAGTCCATTTCCAAGGGTTTTAATGAAAATCCATCACATCCTACTCGATGGCCAAAGTCCCAGCAGATCTCAGGAGCCTTTCCCTCAGCTAACAAGTTGACCAAGCACTTGGGAGGATCAGGCAGTGTATTTTTTCTTCCTGGCTCCCCCAACTACATAAAGGTGCTGGGACAACCCTCAGGGTCTCTAGATTAAGTCATTTCACAATTGCAGCAATCCAGCAGGTACAAAATATTTCCTTCCTCCCTGACCGCTTCTCTTTTTTCTTCCCCGCTTCCAGGGCCCCTCTGCAGCATCCTGGTGAAGCGGTTTGGCTGCAGGTTTGCAGTGATGCTGGGGGGGCTGCTCAGCGCGCTGGGAATGGTGTCCAGCTCCTTCTGCAAGTCCATCAGCCAGCTCTACCTCACAGTTGGGCTCATCACCGGTATGTGCCAGCGAGCAGCAGGAAAACCCAGCTGTGTGCTTGATGGGGAGAAGGGGAATGGGGAGGGTCCTGACTAAGTGCTCACGTTTTTCCATTCATCTGGGAAAAAGGAGAATGCAACATCCCCCAGTGCAGCAGGAATCCTACAGCCACTTGGCCTTCACACCTCTTTAACACACTCATCCAAGCTCACCGTGAAATGCTTCTCTCTGGAAAAAGCTACAGGTCTCCAGAGGGCAAAATGGAGAGCAAAGATGTCTGTTCCTTTTAGTAGCTTCTTGGCCTTTTGTCTCTCAATAAAGCAGGATTTTTTTGTTGGGGTTTTTTTTCAATCTTGGAACATAATGTGTTGGGATAATGTCCTTCCCAGTTTCCCTGGGTTTATATTTCACCACTCCCAATCTGGGGAAATGTGGAGACAACTTTTTCTAACAAAAGACCATGTTGGTTTTGAACAGAAGTAACAGATGGGAACTTTTCCTTTCCAAATATTTCTCCTGTGTGACTGACATTCAACTCTTGGTTTTTAATAACACAAAGAGATTAATTCCTTACTTTGGGACCCATCCTGCTGGATCTTGCAAGCTATGCTGTGGTCACTGCATAGAGAGAAAAACAAGCAACTCCCTGAGTCCTGATAAAAGTGTCAGGAAAGCAACACTGGTTGTTGCATGCGGTATAAAAACCAAGTTTTTAATGAACAATTCCATAACAACTTTAGGAATGGCAATGTGCCTCAGACAAATGTCAGTTTAGATCAGTATATTTACTATACCCAAGAACAAAAGTAGTTTAATTTATGCACAACATCCTTCTCCATTCCTGGTGTGGGTTTCTGAGTATTAATCAGCCCCTGGGGGCTGTGCAGCCTGGCAGGTGAGGAAATGCTTCAGTGGCAGATGAAATCACATGTGAGTACACCCTGAGTTTGTGCTGTTTTCACCCTTTAAGACCACACAGAGGGATCACATGTGGTCATTTACTCTTTTATTCTCACCTTTAGGTCTGGGATCGTGTTTCAGCTTCCAGGCAGGGGTGACTATGCTGGGTTACTACTTTGTGCGGTGGCGAACGCTGGCCAACGCTGTGGCCTCCACCGGCATCTCCCTCGGCTTCACCCTGTGGCCACTGCTGTCTCAGTACCTGCTGGATGAGATGGGCTGGAGAAACACCTTCCTCATCTTTGGAGGAATACTCCTGAACTGCTGTGTTTGTGGAGCCATCATGAGACCCATCGGGTCACTTCCACAGCCGCCCAAGCCTGGAGAGGAGCCAGGCAGCAGAGCAGAGGAGGCACAGCTGTCCAATGGAGTGTCTCTTCCCCACCCTGCACTCCAGCAGCATGCCAGAAGGACAACATGTTTCCAGGTGCTGCAGAAGAATCTGGCTTTTGACATCTTCTGCCAAAACAAACATTACCAGATTTACACTATTGGAGTGGCCTGGATGATGATGGGGTTTGCGTTGCCCCACGCCTACCTTGTGCCTTATGCCATCCACAGCGGGGTGGAGGAGCGCAGGGCAGCTCTTCTTGTCTCTGTCATTGGCTTCATCAACATCTTCATCCGCCCTCTCACAGGGCTGCTCTGGGGGCACAGGGTCTTCACAGGGAGGCGCATCTACCTGTTCAGCCTGGCCGTGCTCCTCTGCGGGCTGAGCAACTTCATCTGCATCATTTCAGCCGAGTTCAGAGTCCTCATCCTCTACTGCGTCATCCTCAGCATTGCCATGAGCGGGATCGGGTCACTCACCTTCCAGGTGCTGATGGATGTGGTGGAGATGGACAGGTTCTCCAGTGCTCTAGGGCTCTTCACCATCCTGGAGAGCATCACTCTCCTCATTGGGCCCCCACTCACAGGTGAGAGACCCTTTGCAAGGAAAAAGCAGGGGGAAAAAATGGTGGTTTGGGAACTGGTGACAAGTGTTTGGGAGCTTAAAAAAAAGGAATAAAGGAGTTTCCAAATCTATGCAGGCAGGTGAGTTTTGCAAAAGGAGCAATATAAAAAGGAGAGTTGGAAAGGAATGATCAGCCCCTTCTGTCAGCTGAAGGAGGGTCACTTCTGCAGCTGCATCAACAGCAGGCAGTGAAAAAACTACTCACTTGGTAAGCTATTTGACAGGTATGGGAGCAATGAGAGCTTTTTTCCACTGAGTGGCAAGAAGCAGAGAGGAATTACTGTGGTAGGATCCTGGTGTCTGTGAACTGTTTCACTGCTTTGTCAGTTTGCATTGTTTTATCCACAGAGTCTCAGGGAACTGTGAACATGCCACTAAACAAATTAACTGTGATCAGAATCATTACCAGTCCTACATTATTCAAAAGCTTTATAGTAAAAGCTTCTGTTTGCCCTTCTTTCCAAGTTCTGGAGCATATTATTTTTTCTCTGGAGACAAGAAAGGAGCTAGTTATGACCCTCAATCCAATAAATTATTCACAGTTCACTCCAAGTGCCACTAAGTGACCTGTCCAAGATGCACCTGCTCCTGTAGTACAGCAGCAAATTCAAAAGACTAAAAGACAAATGTCAACCTGAGCATGAATCCTCAGTTCAGGCTTTAGTTCTCCTCTCTAGACAATGAACTGTGGATATTCAGCAGGAAAATACTGTCTGGTCCAATAATGTGATGGTGACATGCACCATATTTCTTGGTATTCCCCCTGGTGTCACTCACTTTCCTCAAAGAGCAGAGAAGGTCCTTTCTTGGACATCTCTGATGGGAGGAGCAGATGGGCAAAACAAAGCACAGTAAAAGCAGCACCATTTCTATTTGAAGTCCTAAAATCTGCTACAGAAAAGTGCACTACGAAAAGAAATATCACCAATCTTTACTGAAAAATACAGGCAATTAAAACATTATTCCAGTATTTCCATATAAATAAGCAACTTACACAAGGCTTCATATATTTGACTCGAGTATCGCCTTTCATCTCTAACATTTGTGTTAAATTACTCATTTGATATATCAGACTTCTAAATGGTTTATATTGAGGTTGCTTAATGTTAGTCATAATCTTGCTGTGCTGTGAATTTTCTTCTCCCTCATTCCACAGTATTAGGGACAAGTGTTCAGTTTAGAGACCCTAATATGTAAATTTTTGAGATATTTCTCTATTTAGTTGTTCTGTTTTCTGATCCTGGATGTAACAGGGTCATTAATTCCAAAATCTAGTGAGTGGCAGTGGCACAGGGGTTCTCTACTAAGTAAACTAAATGAATCAGCAGTTTTGGGGGGAAATTACAATTTCCTTTCTTTTCTGATTTCTGTGTGTATTGAGAAATATTTTCAGCAGAAGCAGAAACATCACCTGAATGATGACTACAAAAAAAACTCAAACCAACCAAACCCTAGAATTTAGAGAAGAGAACTTAACCCATCAGAGAATGCTTATCTTTTGTGTATGGCAATTTACTGAATTATTTAGGTTTAACATTCATGTCAATTTATGCCTTTAGTGTGCATCTTCTCTTTGGCTTCCATTTCAGGTCTCCTGGTAGACATAACCAGTGATTACCGCTATGTCTTCTACACCTCGAGCTTCTTTCTGATATCTGCTGCATTATTTATGGGGCTCAGCTTCTGTGCTCTGGAAAAAAAAAACAAATTGAGAGAGGCTTCCAAAGTACCTTTGAGTAATCCCTCCAGATATCCATACAGCGAAAAACCAGGTGATCCACAGGCTGAAAGTCAACCCCCTCCAGCAGTCGTGTACATCACGAGCATATGAAAATAAAGAAAAGAAGGAAAGAAAAGAGCAACACAATGATGTCGTTTGTACAAAGCTACACATGGCCCAGCGCTGATGGCAGATGAGAATAAAAAAGTCTGCTTTCCACAAATGTCATCTTCCTTCTGCACTTCTACTCCCAGGGGCCGTGTCAGACTCCAAGAGAAGGATCCAGACTAGGGGATGAGCCCCAAACCCAGCACCAGCCAAGGAGCTGAAGGACAGAGAGATCTGTGTTCTCCTAAAGCAACCCATGGGACAACAGCCACAGAAGGAGATAAAAAGCTGTGTCAGTTCAATTGGGTTAAGTCACTACCTTTAAGAAATCATTGGAAGTCCTGGACAACATGGATTAATGGCTATGCATATGAGTAGTTCTTTCACTTGTAATTTTGGTACACAAGTATCCTGGTTGCTTCCTATGCTGCAGGTGGCAAGACACTTTCTACAGGAAGAGTGCAATTATTTTCCACAGCTCTAAATATTATCTGAAAGCAGCTGCATGGGTTGCAGAACTCAGACAAGTCTCTAGAAAGACCAATTATTTTCTCCTACAAGGTATATACACGAATGCTTCATGCCAAGAGCAGTTTCAAAGCCTGAAAGGTTCAACTCTAGAGCGGCAAAAAGAAAAAAAAACCACCAAAACTTGGAGTGCCTGCTTTGTATAACTAGTGATATCTCAAGTGCTGCTTGATATATCATAAAAGAGGATTCATGGCTTGTGTAAACACACTTCAGCATTACTTGGAACCCATTTGGGGGGGAAAGCAAAGGTGTTACCATATCTAAGCATAACTGTATGCCTCCTTTTATAGGGCCAAATTCAAAGCAACTGTGGAAATGATTTTCAGACTTAATTGCACCAGCATGCTCATCATAGAGAACTTTGTACAAGCATAACTTGTATTTCTTCTAATCACAAGCAGAACTTACAAAGAAATCTGTGGGGGAAGGTATACCAAGGAAAGCCAGTGTTGCTGACTTTGCTTTCCTTACAGCCTTGACTGCAAGTGGCTTTTCCTGCTATATTCCCAGGAGTTGGGCTTCTCACTGCTCATGTGGTGGCTGCATCAGCCTCAGCATCAGCTTGAGGTGCAAATTGTTCATATTCTGTATAATTCCTGATCCAACAGAAGCAGGGAAGAGCTCACAAAACACAGCAGGTGAAAATTACTCAACACATTAGAACCATCAGAAAGATGGAAGCATAAAATGGGAGTGAAATGGAAGAAGGAACAGCTTTCAACTGAACTACAGTGCTTACCTTGAGACCTGTTATACCAAACTCAACTGCAGTGCCTAAGAACTGCCATATCAAATTCCTACCGACAAACCCACAGTTTTCTTTAAAGCTCCCCAGACAAAACAAGCCAACCAACCAAAAATCTGAATGAAAGCACTGGAAAACTGACTCCAAGATCTTCAGAGACTTACAATGGCTTCACAGCCGGCCTTACACGGAGGAAGTATCAGCCCTTCAGAAGGATTTCTACTTCCACAGCTCAGTATCTTCACCCTAGGATTACAGAACCTGTAGACTTTGCATTTACTGATCAAACCTATACTTTAATAAGATGATTAGTGGGAGATATACATATCTAATATCTCATCAAGTGTGTTTATTAAATTATGTAATGCTTACATGGTCCATAGCTACAAAGTAAGCAGGGACTGGTGCTTCTCAACTTGCCAAAACAGACTGTTGTACATTCCTAGAAAAATGATGGGGCTTTCTCCCTCCCAAAAAGCAATGAAGAAGGATGAAGTCCCAAATATCTTCTAGCTATTGCAAATAAACAGCTAAGCAGCTGAAAGATTGGTATCTTTTCTGTGTGTAATTCTTTAATTTTAAATTCTCTTCACCTTTCTACATCCCCTTTCTGTTTTCTTACAGAAATATGGGGTTATGTTGACCCAAATCCTTCCACCACCACAAATGTCCTATGCAAAATAGGTAAGATAAGGTGAAAGCTACAACCCACCCAAATTTATCACAGGAAAACAAAGGTTAGTTGAAGGAGCAAGGGAATGCAGCTCCTGCATGGAGCCAACTGTTTTACCTGCAATTCTTTATCTCTGGATGGCTCATGAGAAAGGACATGTACAGTCTGTGCTTCCTTGGAAGGGAGGACAAAATGACAGGTACTCCCCAGCTGAAGCTGACTCAGAGATCAGCTCCTCCTACACCACACCAAAGAAAACTGTTTTGACTATTTCTTAGCTGTGCACAGAAATGCAAGGATGGAAAGTCAGGAGAGTGCTTCCTAGAACTGCTTTTTGATACTCCCAGACTCATCACTGGGGTAACTGGGACTTATTTGCAGAGGCAGAGAAATCTTTCTGGTAAGAAAAGCAATGAATTCATAAATCCATCATTTTAAGTTTTCTCAACTTGTTGATTACAACCTTTCTAACAGCCTTACAGAATTTAGGCTGCCTGAAAACAGGGTTATCTCCCCTCGTTACTTTCCACAGACCCTTTAGAAGTAATCCACAACCCAGAGGTTGGAACCAAATCCTGCACAGAGAAGAGGTAACTTTTTAGGGTGTGTTTCCACAGGTGAGTTAAGATGTCTGAGCTGCCATAGCAGAGAAAACAAAAGTTCAAGAAGCACCTTTTCTCACTGAAATGAAACATTCACCAGGAAGTTCACACTTGCAAGATGGCGATTCTTAAAAGCCTTAGATACTCTGCCAATGTAATATGTGGGAAATATTAATATTTGCATTTAATGTGGATATTACTTATTAGTATTTAATATCAATAAACCCCAAATAAAAGTCACAGTAAACTTACACACTTTAAAAAACCTCAGAAGTGCAAAATCACTTGATTTAAGAGCTTGGCTTGCTGTTTGCAGACCTGGCTCGTAGCTGTAAGAAAAGAAACAACTAATAGATGAAAATTCCCCGAATTCTGGATTTGGTGTGCTATCTACCCAGGCTATATCAGTCCACACTGTGCAAACTACTCCAGCAAACAGCAAGTGCTTGGAGCATTCAGACCATTAAACTATACAGCTAATATTGAGTGAGTAAATGCAGTACTTATAAACAGAAGTAATAGCGTTTTTCCTCTTTAAACACAGTTTCCCCCCTCTTATTAGTCAATCCCAGTATTGCTCTGTTTGTATTGACTGGCTCCCCTGTGCTTTCTCTGCTCCTGCTTTCTCACATTACTCATTCACTTTCTACTTAATGACAGATGTGGCTTTAAAGTATGTCAACACTTACCATTTAAAAAGGCACACATTAAAAGAGATTTGTTACTACAGTAGCAAAACATTCTAATATAGACATGGTCTGTAGCACCTTTGCTGATAATTTTCATACATATATACTCAAATATACAGATCTATTTACAAATATATAGATGTCTATATACATATAAATAGATAATGATTTCAGTTGATAATTATGCTAAGAGCTGAAGTTGCTAGCACAGGCCTGCCTTAAACTTTTGTACCAGGTAGAAATAAATAATTTTCCTCTCACTTTCTCTCTCTTCCCATGTTGTTACCATGTTAAAATATTTAGCATAGCTGCATTCAGTGCAGCTTCTTTGCTCATCCTTCTATTTAATGTAGTCACAGGCAGATATTTTGTGCCCCCAGCTGTGTGGTAGGAGAGGTTTATCAGCCCAGCACTCTTGTCAGTGGTGCCATGAATTTGGTGGATCGGTCCACGTTCAATTTGCTGCATGTGAAAATCAATTGCACTTGAGATAACAAAAAAAGACAACATGTACTCACAGCCTGTTCCCTCCTTATCCACAGCAGAACCTCTGTGCGTGTAATTGCTTCAATAAAAGCAATGCAAATTTCTGCAAAGTCCAACCCCCCACCCCCAGGTTTATGATGTTTATTAACTCTTACCATATATATTTATAGAACATGAATCACACCTGAACCCAGGTGTGCAACACGTAAAGTCCCGGTGGTTCCACTGAACTGTGTGAGTTCAAAACCAGGGAATTGCTCAGCTCTGTGCCCATTGTAAACCAGGGTGGAATCCCCTGCTGCTGGTTTCATTCACTCCCAGGCTTTGCCTCATTTTTTTTTCCCCAGGTAATTTATCTCACTGGGCATGTATTGCGCCCTGGTTTTACCTTTCCCCTCAGCTTGTAATCCTTTTGTCTTTTACGAAAGGAAAAAAAATTCTGTTTTCATTGTCCTTCTTTAGTTTTCGAGATTCAATACCATATTTAAACTGGAACGTGCTGCACCACCACAGGTGCTTCCTAACTGGAAGGAGAGCAGGATTGGGATTGAACAGGAAAACATATACATACGTGAAAACTCTTTGAGTGATTAACTAGGGAGTGAGGAAGGGTCAGCTCCTTTCCAGAGCAAAGCTTTGCCGTGTAACAAAACACAAACACCACGATACAGGGTCATTCATTTTTATACACTTATGTATACTTATATATTTATATATATATTTGTATATATTGTACACTATATATGTTATTAACTTATACCTAGGGAAGGAGGAGCCACCCCCCCACACCCCTGAAGGGAGTGGGAGCCGCCCCGCCCGCCCACAAGATGGCGGCCGCCCCCGCCCCGCCTGAGGGAGATGCTCGCGCCGTGTCACGCCCACAAGATGGCGGCTGGTGGTGTCTCCTCGCCGCCCTGAGGCGGCCGGTTTGTCCCCATCCCACGGGACACCCGGCCCCTGAGCTGCCCGTGATCAGCACTGCCCGGGGTTCCAGGGGAACGGGGAGCCCATCGAGGTGTCCCACAGGCGGGCCCGCGATGGAGCTGGGGCGGCTGGAGTACCTGCAGGCGCTCGTCACCGAATTCCAGGTGACGGACAGCCCAGGTAACAAACACCGCTGCTCGCTCACTCCCCTCATGTTGAGTGTTTCCTCACACACCTGACGCTTCTCCCTTGCAGAGGCCAAGGAGCAGGTGCTGGCGAACCTGGCCAACTTCGCCTACGATCCCAAAAACTACGAGTACCTGCGGCAGCTCCAGGTGCTGGATCTGTTCCTGGACATGCTCACCGAGGACAACGAGACCCTCGTGGAGTTTGCCATTGGTAAGGGCTGCCCCGAACACCCTCAGCTGGCACCTGCCTGGCAGGTCCGGGGACACCAGGTCCCACACCTGGTTTGGTGGTTAATCCCCCCCCCGCAAAATGGATCAGCAATCAGGCTCCAAAAATAGACCCACACTGTGCTGATCAAGCCTCATTTAGTGCAGAATGTGTGGAATAGGGAGAGAAGTCAGAGGCAGGCATGTCCCCCCTGTCCTGATAGAGCATAATGAAGACACTTTCTGGAAAGGATTTTGTTTTTCTTTTTCCCCCAGACCATAAGTAAACACTACCTGATTGACGTTTTTCTGAAACCTCTCCAATAGAGAAGCAATAATTAATACATAAATTTAGCCAGGTAGATTGTACCAGTCCAGTGTTACCGTTCTGCTATTGACAGCTGGTCTTCTAGAATATTTACTTGACCTTTTTTAATAAATTTTCTGAGAAACTGTCTTATCGTGATTTTTTTATGGTCTGAACATAAGCTAAGGGGCCAGATCCTTTGAGGGATTCTATGAGATGATAATAAATATACTTGATTTTTAAGGTTAGTGGCTTCTCAGAGTTTCAAGTTCAAACATTCCGTGCCTCTTGCCCAACACTGTTATGTCCATTCTCTGGTTTTCTAAAACACGTGCAGTAAACTGCTGGCTGGTATCCTCAGTTAGGGATAAGCGATCCTGGAATCGTTCTGTGGAAGCAGTTATGTGCAGCAGTAACAGTGCCCTCTAATGACACACAGGAGGAGGAATGTGCTGGTGGAAAATCTCTGGAAAGCATCAACAGATCACGGCCTAGGGAACCGTGAAGAATTTTCCATCCAAACCTCACAGAAAATCTGGATACTTATTTCTGTGTTAGAGACAGGACGAGCTTAAATTTGAATCTTATTCTGACAAAGACCAAGGTGTGGAGAGTTTGCCTCGTCAGACACTTTCTTTTGCCGTTTCAGGTGGTCTTTGTAACCTGTGCCTGGATAAAACTAACAAAGAGTACATCCTGGAGGCCAAGGGGGTGGAGCCCATCATCAACTGCCTGTCCAGCCCCAACGAGGAGACTGTGATGTCGGCTGTCACGACGCTGATGTTCCTCACGACGCCACAGTCACGGCACCAGACCACGGCCTTGCCTGTGGTGGAGTGCATGCTCCGCTTCTCCCTCTCGGCCAACAAACGGCTCAGCAACCTGGCAACCCTCTTCCTGGAGGATTACTGCTCCCCTCCTCAGGTGGAGGAGGCCAGGAATCTCAGCAAACACACAGCAGTGGGGATCCCCCTCCCCAAGGACTGAAGCTGTTTGAGAGGGAAACTGCCCTCTGTTCTCACTTTCTGCTCAGCAGGTCAAGAGCGTGTCAAAAAATGTTAAAGAGGGAAGCTGGTCCTACCAGCACTGGGGTTTAGTTAACAAAGATGATGGTGCAGCACTACCATGGCAGCTGGACCAAGCATGCAGCTAAAACTGCCAGCAAATATTTAAAATAAAGCAGGTTAGGGCTGTTGGAGAGCAGTTTGCCAAGTGCAACCCAGCACCCAGCTTGTGCAAATAACCCTTCCCAGCAGTGAGTGAGGGGTTTTCTGCTTGGGTTATTGAGCAGCTTATATCCCCTCCAGTTCCTGGCTGATTTTGCTGCAGCTCTCCCCTTCAGTGTCAATGACAACTGACACGGAGTGTCAACTCAAATGACTTCAAAATGTCACAGAAATGTATTCCTCCTGCAGAGAAAGAAGGAGTTTTCCTGCCCTGGCAGTTCACAATCTTTCTACATCCCTGTGGAACTAGTTATGCCACCCTCTCATCGTGGCATAGGCACCCGGCTCCTGAGTCACTGCACAGGGCAGGCTGTAACTATCCTTTAAATCAAGAAGTGGAAAGTTGTTTTTCTTTCATTACCACTGGTGAGGAAGGTGAAGATTTAAAAAAAAGAAATGGCTCACAGCAGTCTGGCTCATGAGAACTGCTGTCTTGTAAAACCTTCTCTTAATAAAACATTAACTTGAATGCTGTGTAATCAGTTCTGTATGAGCTCATAAATATTTCTGTGCAGCACTTGCAGCCTTTGCCCACTCTTACTCAAGCACATGGGCCAGAAATCGAGGCCAGCTTGGTCTCCTTTCATGATCAGCCAATGAGGCAAGAGAAAACCCAAAAGCCAGGTTGGCTAAATACATAAAATTGAGAAGGTTTGGCTGTTGAGCCCAGTGCCCCCTGACAGACACCCATCCTGTGTCTGCTCAAGTTTCAAGAGCTTTCCTTCTTCCTCTTTTTTCCTCCTCTCCACCCCCAGGCAGCACAAACCAAACAGGAGCAAGGTTAAACACACACATGTAAAAATCCAACCCACAGCTGCTTGTGTTTTACAGTTTCTCTTCTCCAAACAGCAAACATCCAAAATGCTACAGAGGTTAACTGTGTGCAGAGGAATCTTCCAGAAACGCAGAGAGTCAGCTCTGTGCCAAGTCTGACAGTGGCAGCTCATTCGTTATTATAACTGACCCCGAGGTGACGGTGCTCACTGGCTCCTGGGAACGGGTTTCCCTGGCATTGGGAAGGGCACAGCATCCCCTTCCTGCACTACTGCCTGCGCTTGCTTTCCAGGATGGCCTTCCAGTCGTCCGCCCAGGAGAGCAGGCGCCGGCGCGGGGCCGGCAGCTGGACGTGCCTGTTGTGGCAGCAGGTGAACAGGATGTGCTCCCAGCTCGGGTTCGGTTCTGCACCTGGGGAGGGAGAAGGGGGAAAACTGGAGTCAGCTGGGGGTAACTCCCTGGCCAACAGCCAGCGATGGAAGCGCGGTTCAAACCTTGGATGGTGTCCTTGTCGTCAAACAGCAGGTCAGCAGCTACGACGGTCTTATCTCGGGTCAGAATAATCCTCTCCACAAACTCGGGCCCCAAATGTTTCTCTACCCACTTATACTGCAGAGACAAGGAGTAAGAGAAAATCCAGCTGTAGTCTCAGTTTGCACATCGCTCGTGCCAGGTCAGCCCTAATGCAGTAATTTTTTCCCCTATAAGCCCACATCTCTGTCTAGGAATCCCCATGTGGAGCCTGGCCATAGCCCAGGACGGATTTAACCTGTGACAGCCTTCACTCAGCACTGCCCTGGCCGTGCTGAACTGTTGAGTTTGTGAGCAGCACTGGCTGCTTGCCCAGAGCACGTGGATTGTGCCCATCCAAGTCACTCCGGCGACCAAAGTCTCCCCTCCATTCTCGTGCCAGTGGCAAACAGGACTAATTCCAACACCACAACCTCCTCAACTCAGCATTGGCCTCTTTTGGGGCAGCTGGATATCTCAGTCTCCAGATTTAGACAGAAGGTTTTGTTGGCTGAGGATTCTCCAGCGTGGAATCCCCTGGGAATACCCCTTCCTTGTAGGGAACTACAACAGTTCCTTTGCTATCGCCTCCTGATAAGCTGGTCCCAGCCCAGCTCCAAGAGCTCAGGGCTCATGTGCTCCATAGTAATTCTGGCAGCACGTGGCACTGCAAGATTCCCCATCCTGAGCTACTGCTCCATGTCTGGGCAGCTGACATGGACAGGGATCGGGGGGAAGCCTGGCAGCCGGAGCAGCCACTGCCTTAATAAAGGAACGGCTCTGTCTTGGTGGTATGAACCAGCAAGGCCTTGCAAAAGCAGCATTAAACCCAGCAAAATAAATTCTCTCCCACCTTTTCCACGATGCAGTGCTCGTATTTCCGGAGAGGACTCGTGCAAATGAACACCTGGGTGCTGAAAAGAAAACAGCCTTCATTAGCAGTCAGGGGGGAATGTAAGGTCATGGAAAAGGGCTGTAGAGTGTCCTTACTCCTGCATGTGGATCATCTCCTTCATAGCTTCAAGGGCTCCTGGAATTGGATCCAACCTCAGGAAGAAGCCAGGCGACTCATAGACACTGGCTACCTTGGCCTGCAAGAGACAGAGGACAGTCAGCAGTGCCTGTGCTTTGATCCAAGATGTCCCAGCAGTTCTCCTGTTGTCCTGTGTGTAACAGCCAGCAAAGGGCCAGCGCTTTGCAGAGGGAGGTGATGCTTCCCCCCAAGAGTGGATTATAAAATTTCTCACCTTTTGGGTTTCAGGAAAAGTCCAACCCAGGCACACAAGAAGTCACTCCCTGGTGGCTCGTTCGGAGTGAGGAGGCAGAGCTGACCCTGACCTGGATTTGTTCCCACCACAAACAGCCCTGACCCACAGCTGGAATCGCTGAGCTCTGGCAGAGGGACAGCTCCCTCCTCACCCCTCCCAGCAGGTCTCTCTAGACTAACTCTTGTGAAAACCAAAGGAACAAGTTTGAGGCTTCTGCTCCTCTGTCATGCTTGGCTGAGATTTGCTGATGACTCAGGAATTTACCAGGGACAACTGGACAGACACAGGCACTGCCCATTATCCCTCTTTTCCTTTGGAGCAAACAGGGCAAAGTGGTGACCGTGCCAATGGCCAAGCCAGCACACCCACACATTTGGGGTGAATCCCTTCAGCAAGAGGGAACAGTGAGGATGGGGGCACTGGGAAAGCTCCATGTCTTTGCTGCTTTCTGTGATTTTCAATCACCCACTAAAACACCCATTGCTGAAGGAGCAGACCTTGACTCCAGCACGTTTGGAGCTGCTCCCCTGTGGTAACGGGCTGGTGCAAAGTCTGCTCCAAAGAGTGTCAGACTGCAGCAGGCAGTTCAGAGGTGGATCCCTGTGCTTCCCCAGGAACCTTTGGCTTCCTGGGGTGACCTGTGCACCCCGTGACCCCCAGCTGGGCTGGGTTTGGGGGTGCTGTGGGACAGCACTCCCTTCGCCTGGCTCGGGGCACAGGGCCCCACGATGGGCTGAGCAGGGGGATTAAGGGCTTTATCCCTGTTGTGTCTGCACCTGCTCTCGGTGTAAACCCACCTTCCATACAGGCATGTGGGATGCCACATGAATCAGAGAAGTCATTAATGGTGAAAAAGTAGGAAAGGAGGTTTGCTCTAAAGGTAGAATAATTTTTAAATGAGTGTAAAACAGGAAAGAAACAAGATTACTGGAGGAGCAATGTTATCCCATTTTGGCTACAGTACCCAAAAATGGTACAAAAAGGTATTTAATATGATACAGCACAGTGGCATTTATAACCTCTAAAAGGAAATGCAGTATTTCCAGGGCAATTCTCATGCCTTTAGGTAGGACTGTCCTTCTAGTCCTTTTTTTTTTTTTTTAATTTACTGATAAGACATTTTCATACATTTCATTATTAGGAAATTCATTGATTTGAATGCAGTTCTGGTTAGTTAATTTTAAAGATTGCTCTCTGTTGACTGTTCAGTGGCCTGTGTTAAATCGGAGTGTTTCAGAGTGGGTCACAGCCCATGGGTTTTCTCCCCCCTTATCACACATCCCATCATGGCAAAGGACCCACAGCAGTGCTGAGGCCACTTCCAGGCTTAAGTTTGACTCTCAGACAGAGAGGTTAAGCTTCCAGTATCTCTTCTACCCTGAGACACATGAATCTTACCTTCCCTGGGGTCACACTGTGAACTTCAGAGGTGTCAAAACAGCATTTTTCCACCAGCATTAAAGCCATATGTTCCCATGCCACTGAACAATTTTGAAAACTTAATTCTTGTTAAGTATTCTTCAAAGACAGGCTGCAGCCTTTGCTTAGAAATTGTACAAGGCAGCTTTACAGTCCAGCTGATGGTCTCTTTGCTCTATATCACCAGTGGAACCTCAACATAAAGGCCATTTCAATTAAGAGGCAATGAGAAGGAGTTGGCATTAAACCAGTCTCCCAGATCCCGGAGCTCACCCAGTTATCATCATCTGCAAATACTCATAAATCAACAGCCAGAAATTTGGAAGCACTGCCTGATTGCACACGCAAATCAGAAGAGGTTGAGGAGTCTCTGGGTGCAGACGTGGCAATCAGATCTGCCCAGATCTCTGTTTCCATGCAAAGCCTCCCTGATCCCAGCAACAATTCCCTGGAGCTCTTCCCAAGGAGATTGAATTACAGACTCAGGGCTTGTGTCTGAAAGCTCTTTTATCCTACAGCAAGTCACCAGAAACTGGCAAGTTTCCACTACGTCACAAAAAAGTCTGGCTCTGCTGGCAAGAGAAATTCGATTTGATGACTCTTAGAATCAAAAGCCATTTCCCTCCCCCACAAGAAACAAAAAGTGACTAGAAACTGAAAGTAAAACCATTTTCTTTCCTCATTTTCATGCCATCAGTGCCGAACGTTTCCTTTTAACTTCCATTAGCAAGATAACTTGGATGCAAAGCTGGAGTGACTACCTCTATCCCTAAGCTTTCCCGTTGGCACTTAAAAAACCAATTCTAGACACTTAAAAATAATTATAGAAAATTTTGCCTCCGCTGGAGGTGCTGAATCCTTTTTTGAAACTGTCTGGGGCCAGGAAACACATCCTAAACTCTTGGGAGATAAATCCCCATCAAAATGGCTACAAACACAGGGGGGCAGATAGGCAAGAGCAGTAAAGAAAGTTTTGAACAAAATAAAATGGATTAAAAGTCTTTTTAAATAAAATGGATTTACAATGTGAAATTAATGATCAAAACAGAAATAAAACCCCAAGTAATGGCTCCAGTTTCAAGGGGCAGCTGCTCAGCACTAACAAAGCATAAACACCCCTCAGGAAGGGGCGATTCATAAATCATTAGCACAGCACTTCCCACTCCCTGGCATGAGAGGATCCCACACCCTGGCAGTTCATGGACAGGCACAGCCAACACCTGCCACATGGAGCCTGGTGTCCAGCTGATCCCTGGTGTCCAGGTGATCCCCTCCTTTCACCACTGACAAACTGCAGACTCAGTTTCCCTGCACGGACATGAGGCCCCACAGACCCCCTGGCACAGGATGGAAAAACTGTCCTCAGTGTCTGGGCTGCTGGTTCCTGCTGAAGCTTTTCCTGCAGCTGTGGGCAAGGAGAGACCTTCCACAGGGATTCTCCTGCCTCACAGCCACGGCAGAACTAACAAGGGCTCTATTTTTAAACTATTTTATGATTTTTACATAAAACCCAAAGGAGCTTAAAATCTTAAAAACTTCATTGTTGTGGCTAAAGCAGCCCAGAACTCCAGAGGTTACTGAAGGAGACACACAGCACAGCTCCATAAAGCTAATTTCCTTAGGAAGCCAGGCTAGTAATGAACAGCAAGATAAGAGCTTTCTGCTACTGCTGATCTGCGTGGGACTCAAACCAGTTATCTGGTTATTCCATTGCCACACCTAAGGTCTGGGGAGAAACAGGATGAGCATGAACCAAATTAGGGAATGGGAACGCCAGAAATAGAACAAAACACAATTTTTTTGATAGATCAGATTGTAGACCTTCAAAATAAGAACAAATAAAAATTCAAGACCCCTTTAATTACCTGCATTTTTTTTTGTCCATATATACCTAAACGGGATTCACATAAGGAATACTAATTTAAACAATAAATCATGTCTGTTTATGTAAAACAATAACCAAATTCATGCCTACTGCCTATATTTACAGGTTCCTAGGTCCAGGAACTTCTGAGCATCAATAGTCATTGATTAGAGCTCGGGCAGTTTGGAGCCTGTGGAAATGCTGGACCCAGCACTCCCATCCATCACCCTGGTGCAGGAGCCTGGAACAGGAGGGAAATCAATGTGAATTGTCGTTTCTTAGCAGTAAAAAAACCTACAGGCTCAGTACAGGACCTTAAAATTAGCAATGAACTTCTCAGGGAAAGTGTATGGCACAGCCTGGATCAGCATCCATTGTCTATGTAGAGTCCTTGACTGTCCTGCAGTGACCAGAGGGAAGGGTGAAGTCTAGATTCACAGTATTTTTGACTTTGCCTTGCAAACCTCTCTGATATTCATTCAGTCATTAGCAGACATTAAAAATGGCAACAGTTTGCATGGATGTAGGGTGTTCCAGAGCTTTCTGCATGCTGCTCCTGATCATTACCTGCCATGCACTCTGCTTGTCAGGGCATGCAGAGGGAATATGGACACAGGATTTCATTAGCTGTACAAACCCATATATAACATTTATATTTCTTGTCCTGCTGTGGAGCCACATTAACACTCACAGAGCACTCAGGGAGCTTTGGGTAAGTTATTACTCCTGCTGCACAGCAAGAGCAGGAACATGAGTAGGGTAAAGAACAAGCTGAACATGGTTCAGTGAAGAGTTTGATGACAGAATTGCTCTTTGCCAATTCCTGCACACACTTCCCAGTAAAGGGCTGGTGATCCTCCTGGAAGAAGTCACTAATTATCACTATACAAAATAAGGCTGCATGAAATGCAAAATTAAAAATACTGTGAACCCAGACTTCACCCTTCCTGCTGGTCACCGAGGGACAGTCTAATCAATGATATTGAGGCTCAAAAGTTCCTGGAATTAGGAAAATTATAAATATAGGGAGTAGGCATGAATTAGGTTACTATTTTACATAAACAAATTTTATTTATTATTCAAATTAGTATTCTTTAAACGAATTCCATGTAGCTATGCACGGACAAAGGAAGTTGTAGGTAATTTAAGGGGTCACGGCTGTTTAAAAAATACTGACCCGACCCTGAGCTCTGCACACCCAGGGTGGGCAGGGAGAGGTTTCCGGGCCGGGTGAGGAGGGTGAGACTCGAACTCACCTCCAGGTCCTCCCGCAGGCTGCGGTACTGCTCCCGCACCGAGAAGCCCCTGCGCTCCGCCAGCTCCACGCGCGGCTCCGCCGGGAAGCGGGAGCGGAATTCCCGCAGCACCGCGCCCTCGAAGTCGGCCAGGACTCCGTCCATGTCCACCAGCACCCGCAGCGGCCCGGCCGCGCTGCCCATCCCGATCCCAGATCCCGGCACACGCGGGCGATGCGGGCGGCAGCGCCCCCGGCTCCGGCACACGTGGGATGTACATGAATATGCATGAGCCTCATGAATATGCATGAGGCGGGCGGGGCTCCTCGGGGCAGCCCCGCGTGGGAACAGCGGTGGGATCCGCCAGGAACCGAGGAAAAGCGAACAGCACTCCCCAAAACCCTTTGGGATCCCGCAGTGGGCACGTTCACAGCACGAGGGGGAGAAGGGCGGTGGAACAGCAGCAGCATGGCTTGGCCAAAGCCTCAGCAACCATAAAGGAGCACTAATAAAGTTCCACTGGCTTTGGGGATTGCCAAGGAAATATAATTTGATTACTTCCCATGCTCTACCTGCAGCCAGTCCCACGGCTCAGGGGACACGAGGGATAAGGAATCCCCTCTCCCCCCACCATGCAGGAGAGGAAGAGCACGTCAGAGCAAATCCAGTTTTGTAGGTTAAGCACCTCAGCCTAGGGCTTCTCCAGCGCTGATCTGGAAAGCCTGGGTGCTTTCTGGCACCGGTTCTTCCAGGAGGAGGGTGGAAAAGGTGCCAGCAGACACACCAGCTCCATACAAATCCTCTGCTGTGGCTTATCCTGCAGCAGATCCCTCCAGGACAGCAGAGAACTCCACAGTTTGGACTCACAGCCACCTCCCTTTTTAGGATCCTGTTTTGGTTTGGGTTTCTTTTTGTTGTGAGGAAAATAAACTTTCCTCTATTTTCTTGAGATAAAAAAGTATCTTGGATAAACCAGATTACAGATACCAAGCCACATTCCACATTTCTCTGCTCTAGAAGACAAAAATTAAGTGATAAGTCAGACAATCTCTTCAGGGGAAGATGGCATATGATGGTGATGTTAACCAAGTGCAATAACTCTCCTCCTCTGCTGCATCCCACCTGTGCTGGAGTAGGGCAGGCTGGCTGAGACAAGGCCAACTGAGAATAAAGGCAAAACCAAAACCACGAAATAAAACCCACACAGGAAACACGGCTTCAAAATTTCTATATTATTTACTTTTAAGCAACAATCCAGCTCCGTGAAATTACAACACACACTTTTAAAGGATGAGATTTTCACCTCATGGTCAAGCACCAGCATGATCATGCACAGCATTGAGTCAGTTGTAAAAAAAAATGCCCTGTAATTCTTATTTATATGATCCACTCCACCTTTACTGAATAAAGTCTGAATCAGCCCCTTCCCAGCACTAGGCCAGGTGGCTCTGGTCATCAGCCCTCTATTTGGCACAGACCCTGCATCATAATAGTCCAGTATCAAGATTTATTTTGTTTTTAAAGGCAGCATGGTGTACATTAACCACTCAATGATTTATATGGCACAGCAGGGCTCAAGGCATTTACCACATGCAGTCAATGAAGCCTTTTAGATCCCTAAATCCCACATGTGGAGGGAAGGGACCGCTCTTGCTGATTGTTTGCTGGCCTGGTTAACCAGGATTCTAGACCCTTGTAAAGCTAAGGGGTTCTAAAAAAAAAAAACCTCAGTACAAAAACCCTCTAAGCACACTTAGAACCAAGCTACTCTCCTTTGAATTACATTACAATACTTCATAAAGCTTTCCCTCAAGTCTATCACTAGAAAACACTCATGTCACTTCCAGTAGATCTGGGGGAAACACAGGACAGAAGTGGAAAAAACCCTTGACTTCAAAAAAAGATGGAGTACATAAAGTGCTTCTTTTTAATGAAAGAAATTTGAGATGTACAGTCAGGCTCAAGTTGTGCAGTTCACAAGCATGGGGGAAAGAAAACAGACACGAGTTCAAAACAGTCAGGAAGGGAAAGGTTTAACCGAGGACTAGGCTGGACTTGCCACCGGGTGGATTTCTCCTGGACGGTGCAGGTGCTGGTGCTACTGGGCTAGGAACAGGTGCAGCAGGCAGGGATTTTTCTTCACTCTGACCTGGGGCAGCTTCTACATCAGCCTCAATGTTTTCTAGAAGAAAAGAAGCTTTTAAGGTGTTTGATGTGGATGAGGAGAGCCAGATGTTTCGCTGGCTCCTGTCAGTTCTCTCTCGGTGTTCAGACACACTCGGGTGCTGCTGCAACCCGAGGGCAGGGCAGACTCAGCCCTCAGAAGTGTTTCTCAGATGGACTCTGCCTTCCAGCTCGGTTTCAGGTGTTCATCAAGAGCCACATTCACTCAGCTGCTATTAAGGGACACCAGCAATTCATTTTTCTTAATGACAAGCAGCTCAAGACTTAAGACTTGTACATATAATTAGTCAGCGTGTGACTCTGGCAATAGTAACTCAAGTCTGAGCAGGTGCTGGAAGCCGAGTCACAGAAGCACCAGCAAGAGCTCAAACTACATTCCCAATTTCGTAACTGGAGGGAAGAGGATCTGACACACTTCTGAGGCTTCACACAGAACAGAGCAGGGAACAGCCATGCATGGGGAGGCTCTGATTGTACACTCCCTGGGAAGCACATGATAGTTTATTTTAAGCCCTTCTGAACAGCCACAAGTGAAGACAGGACACAGAAGGAATTCTTCACAGGAAGCACTTTAGATACTGTAGCAAATAACTAATGTATCTGCTTCGCTGACACCGAGTACAGCAAGTACATTAGCATCTCACATTTTTATGCACTAACACAATCACTTCTGAGCCAAAGGCCCAAATCAGCACCAAGCAGCCCCCTGGGTACTGGGGGAGTGAGGGGAGCAAAGCTTCACCATCAGCTCTGTCAAGATACACCTCACCTGTTTTCAACAGACCCCTTAGTTTAATCTAATGAACACTAGTTCTGGGTCTGGAGGGTTCAGACAACAGCTGCACATTCACCCTAAGCTTCATGTTTGGTAAATCTTGATTAAATTCCCTCCCCCAGCCTCCTCCTCAAGCTGCAGAGACACAACTATTTCAGTTTCACCTCCCAGGGCAGCCACTGCACCCCTTTACCTTCCTTGTTCACCTCCACAACCTCCTGCTCTTTACCTGTCAAGGACTGCACACTCCATTCAAGATGTGGGTGTACCATTGTTTACAGACAAAATGATGTAATTTTCCATTTTCTCCCTGATGACATCCAGCATTTTGCTAGCACTTCCACACATCTCAGAGAACACTCAGTGCCAAGAGTCAAGGCAGATCCTGGGAGCATCACAGCACAGAGCTGAACACAAGGCTGCCATGGTTGAGGTGTTGGGTTTTTTCACCCCCTGGATTCATTACTTTACACTTACTTACATAAAGATTATCCTGCCACCTTTTTACCTGCCTACCTCATTCAGCTGAGTCCTTCTGACAGTGAGATTTTCTCACCATCAGCACAATTTGACTACTTGAAAGAGCTCATATCACACCAACAAAATTGGAGACTTCACTGTTCATTACCTTTTCCAGGTCACGGATGAAGGCACTGAATAAAACTACCTCCACATCACTTCCCATGGCTCATTTTTCCAATTTGAAAGGCAATTACTAAGCCCTACCCTTTGCCTCCTATCTTTTAGCTACTCTCCTACCCCCAGGAGCAGCTTTCCTCCAATTCTGTGGCAACTCAGCTTATCTCTTTTAAATAATATTTGATGCAGGATTTATCAGAAACACCAAAATCCCACTTCTGTCCACTGAACCCCCTGTATCCACGCTTATAATGATCTCAAAGAACTCCAGCAGCTTAGCATAGTCCCCATGCAATCAGGAATAATCTACACTACAGACTCTCTGCTGTGCTCATTAACACACCAGCACAGCTGCACTAAACAGTTAATACCACATTTTAAGCTTGAAGCTCCTGTAGCTGCCGTGTCCCAGTGCCTGCTGACTCAGCACAAGCATCCATGGAGATCATCTGCCCCTAAAGCCAGACTCCACCTTCCCCTGTGTGTGTCATGCACTGTCTAGTTCTCCTTAGCTGCTCACATTCATTCAGCTCACAGTGCCACTGAATCACAAAAGAAACATGAATTAAGACCACAGGAGACTTCTGGGGAAGTTGGTGTAGCTCATTCAGCCAGCTGATCACACATCAGCACTTCTCACATAATCAAGGTATAGATATATTTGCCAACCTAATGACTAAAGTAAATGCAATAGGATCAGCTCAAATGTTGAAGATCTTCCCATCCCAAAAAGGGTCTAATCCCTGGAACAGCTCCCTGCTGAGTGCACTGCAAACCCCTGAAACTCTGCACAGAAAGGAACTACAGCTCCCAAACAGAAGCAAGAAAACTGCTGCAAAAGGAACATTTTCTTCCCCCAGACAGGTGTGATTAATAAATATGCACACCCCACCTGACACCTACTTGGGGTTTTATAATCAGTTACATACAGAAAATGATTTCCACATTCAAAAGAATAAACATTTTTACATGATGGGAAGCTATTAAGATTCTGGTTGTGCTGTGAACTTGTAAGCAGACAGCTTTTGCTTGGAGGTGGATTCATTCAACTCTTTTCAAACTCTGCAGACAGCTCTGCAAATCCAGTACAAAGTCACAGGTGTGCCAGGTGGGATGTTCACCAGCCCAGCAGGAATATCAAGGGGAGGAGTGGCACACCTCAATGAGACTGGGCTCCAATAAGCTACAATTCCCAAAGCTATCAGTGGTAGAAATTAATTTAACAATCCATCAGGATGCTCAGGGATCTGCCACAGACACCATTTCCAGGAAGCATTAAATTCCTACTCCTTCCTAAGTAACATCAGTGAAAGTTTAACATTCAAACCTTTGCCTGTCATTTTAATTTCATCTTGGCCATCTCCAAAAGTTTAACTTTTACTCATGGCCACAACAGGAAACAACCCCAATTACTTTCCAGTAACACTTTTTTTTTTAACCACCTCCCAGCATACATTTATTTGGTCTTTGATAAGAACTTCTCTCGCTGTCACTCACCAGATAAAAACCTAAATACAAATACAACACCTGTGAAAAATGTGAACTTTTAAATTCAAGAGTCAGGAATATCACTTTGCACTCCAAGTTTCAGCTGTCCTGATCCCAGCCAGCTTTTTCTGTTTCCTCCCATCCCAGCCCTTCTCACCTCACTGCTGTTTGTGGGATCTCCTCT